CTCGCCCCCCACCCACCCCCTTCCCCATCAGGCACCCGAGGCCCGCACACCGCCCGCCCGAAACGAATTAAGCAGGGACCAGAAAAACAAAACGAGATTCTCACCTCCTTGCCCTTGGGGCCGAGTCGAGCCAAGCCGGGCGGCCAAAGCCGGCCGGCTAACCAAGCGACGGCCGCCTCGCCTTGCATTCCCTGTGCACCTCTCCTCTTTCTCTTTCCCTCTCCCTCTCGCCCCCTCTCTCGGCCACACTCTCCCCCCTCCCCCTCTCTCTCTCCCTCCCACGCGGCGGGGCAGCCAGTTTCGGCAGACGCCGGCACATCCCGGCGGTGGGTGCATTGCGATCCAAAGCCATGACCATGAACCAGGCATGGCGGGTATATTTATGTGCGCGGGGTAATTCAATTTAAGGAAGGCACTGGCCGTTATCAAATTGGAATGCAAACAAACGAGCCAGGCCGAAGAACGGCTGCGCAGAGGGGCCCGGGGGGTCCAGAGGGCGTCCGGGGGGAGCGGGACGGAGGGGAGGGGTCGGCGATAAAACGAAAGGGTGTCGAGCGTGCGAGTATACGGACGAAGGACTATGGCAAAAGGGGCGGGTTTCCTTACTTCTCAATCCCGGCCGTAAAAACATTCGAGGAGTATTGACGACGGTATGGAGGAGCGGGGGGTGCGGTGTGGTGGGTGGGTTGGCGCGGGCGGGGGCGAGCCATATTATCAAATTACATCACAAACGGGCGAACAATGCGAGGCAAGGAGAGGCCGGGGAAGGAAGGGGGGGGGGGGAGTAGCTTACCGTCCGGAGCAGGACGAGAGGATGGGTTCCAAGGTCGACCACGACGAGAGCGTCCAGGAGGAGGAAGGCGGCAGCAGGGAGCGGGCGCGCGCGGCCAGCGACAACAGCGTGACGCGCGGGGCGACTCCATCCGGGTGAAACACGAGCGCGGGCTGCGCGGGCGTGCGGCCTGCCCGGGGCACTACAGGGGCAGACTAAGGCGCGCTATCGGAGGGGATCGCGTCGACACGGCAGGAGCAGCGACAAGACACGCCAGCGCCACGCGCAGCAGCGAAAGGTCACGCACATGCGATATGAACAGAACGAGATGTTTGCTGGAGCTAGTAGAGCTCTCGAGGGCCGCGGCGGTGGAGAGGCGGTGGAGAGGCGGTGGAGAGGCGGCCGAGAACACAGATTTCACCGTGCCGCGCCGCCGGGACTCTCCTCTAGCCGGGCCGACCTTCGCTGCTGCTGCTACTGGTACTTGAGAAGGTCCGCCGCACACACCGCGCGGCTCGCCCATTGTCTACGCGAGATGGGATAAATTTCCACCAAGGCGACACGACCGAAACTTTGCGGGGACCCCTTGACTCCGCGGGGGGGTTGCCGAACCACCGGGACACACCCCGAACAGCGGCGCCGACGGAGGTCCCCCCGCCCAACTATAAACCAAACGCCAAATGAATACCTCTCAATTCCACAACACCTGCTATTTCGCCCCAAGTTGAGCGCCAACGGCGTCGCTAAACTTACCCCGTCCCGCGCAGGTGGCGCCCGGCCCCACCCCGCGGCCCCCGCGGCGCGGCCGGTAATAGGGCCTCGACGGCGCGGCAGAAAGTTTCGCGTATGATTTGATCGTGGCGACCGAGAGCATCCAGCCAGCCGAGCCGCGTCGAGCCGGGAGGCGAGCGCGAGCTGAGCGCGAGTGCCAAACAGGTTCTCTCTCTCTCCTCCTAACCTCTCACTTCCTCTCTGTGCCAAACGATCTCTGTGTGATGCTGTCCCGCTGGCTCCGGGCGAGCCTCCAGCCTCCTCCGCTTACCGACCGCATCAGAAAACGAGAAACGGTTGCAACGCACTCCTTCACCTTCACCCCTCGCAGTTGTTTGCAAGTGCAGCTACACCCGACTCTACGCACAAAGATGGTAGTAATGGAGAGCACGACGGTATCCGACGGTATCGCACGAACCAACGCCTCCAGTCCAGACCGAGGCGACGGGGCGCGGAGCTGGCCGTGGACAGTCCTCTCCCGTGGTCCTGGCGGACCCGTCCAGGAGGACGGCTGGCCTTGACCCAGGAAGCGGGGCGGGATGGGGCGGGGTGGGCGGTCAGGCGCGGGGTCGCCTCTGCTGACCGAGCCGGCGGGAGCCCGCCGGCCTTCGCTCAACGATGAGGCGCCAAATCCGCCGCCCACAATGACCATCGCGACAGTCGTTCGGCGGCATCGTGCCCCGCCTGTCCCCTCCCCTTCCTCCAGACCCGCGACGGACCGCGACGCCTCAAGTCGCGCGCGTGCGATTGGAAGTCCATCGATCGCACGGCAGACCATAAACTCGCAGAGTCCCCGGGCCCCCTGGCCGCCACGCCGGCGCGCTGGGGACACTTGGGCCGTGATTGGAATGTGTACCGTACAGCGCGGGACGGGGAAGCAACGCGACGCGACACGACCGACGACCGTGTCATCACCTGCGACCAACAAGGAGCGCGGTGGGCGTTTATCGCCCGGGACTTCGGCCGTATGGAGCGATTATGAGTTACGGGGACGGCGCGCCACGCCCCGCCACGCCCCGCCACATGAATTGGGCATTAGAGCCGCGGAGGGCGTGCCCCCGGCGGGGCGGGGCGAGGCGGGCGCACCGGGTGTCATTCCAGAGCTAGGCGGCCGACGCCCACCGTCGCGCCGCCTCCTCCTGGCCGTGGGCCCGGCTCGCCGGAGAGTTATGTCCAGACCGTGCCAGGGCCCTGCTCCGCCCTGCCCCACCGCGCCCCGCCGCGCCCCGCCCAAGCTCGACGCTGCCAGGCTGTACGATTGGCTTCGAGCCGATTTCCGCCCTTGCCGGCAGACAAACAGACGTGGCCCTGGCGATGCCCCGGCGGCCCTGGCGGGGGTCGCGGCGTGGCGGGGCGTAGCTCGGCGCCACAATATCGACAAGACGGGGAGGCGCGGCCCGCGGCGCGGCGCGGCGGCGGCGGGGCTCAACAAGTCGGCGCGGCCGCGGCGGGGCAGAGGCCCGGCAGCAGCGTCGTGCTCTCACAAACACACACTCATCATCACTCACCTGTCGGAGAAGAACTCGGTCTTGTTGAGGCCCCTCCTGCGGAGCATCGCGCCGCCGAAGGCCGCGCCCAGGGTGCCGCTGGTGGAGCCGGCGCCTTGCTGCAGGCCGCCGGGGCAGCCGATGGCGGGCGGCGACGAGGAGCCCGTCGAGCCGGAGGACAGGGAGCCAGCACGGCCGCGGATGTCGAAGCCGGTGTTGTTGTTGGGGTCGCTCTTGTTGTAGTGGCCGCCGCTGGTGAGCGAGAGCACGGGCCGCGCGTTCTTGTTGCGCCTCTTTTTCTTCTTGCTGCCGCCGCCGCCCAGGTCCTCGTCGGCGCCGCGCGCGTTGATGGGCTGAGCGGGCGCCACCCAGTCCAGGTCCTTGCGCAGGTGGCCGCGGCCGCAGCGGCAGCCGCACGCCTTGTAGGCCAGGTCGTAGCCCTTCTTGGTCCAGAGGTTCTGGTTGCGCTGGCGCTCGGACCAGGAGCGCGCGCGCCCGCAGGACTTGAGGTAGGTGAGCACGCCCTGCTCAAACTGATCAAAGCACTCGCGGTGCATGTAGTGGCCGTAGGGGCAGGCGTCGTTGTTGCAGATGACGCGCACCGCCTCGCGCAGGTCGTCCACCACGGCGCTGTCCTTGCCGTTGTTGTTGGCCGTGAACACCCGCAGGCACTCGGTGGGCGCGCAGCAGCGAGCGGCGCGGTCCATGGCGCGGTGCTCCTGGTGGCGGTGCTGGTGGCGGGGCGCGGCGGCCAGCGGCCCGGGCGCCGGGGCTGCGGGCGCGTTCAGCTGCAGGGGCTGCTGCAGCGGCATGGGCGGGCCGGGGGGCGGCCGGAGGGCGCGGGCAGAGTCACTGTCGCGTCGCCATGGCCGTCGGGAATCAAGTTCTAACAAGAGGGTCGCGGGCCGCCAGGGGGGCCGGGGAGGCAGGGAATGCCGGCCGGCGAGGGAGTCAACAACAACAATGTCACTTCAACAATCAATCAACCAGGGGGTAACGTCCGTGCGTAACAACAACAACAACAAGAACAAGAAAACGAACGCCGGGTATCACAAGGGCAGCAACAACAACAACAACTATAACATGATATGGTAAGTGCCGGCGCTCGCTCGCTCTCGCACGTCACCGACCCCCGAATGGACAGGACAGGCTCCCGCGCTTCACAACCTTCCCTCGCCACCTCTCGCTGGCGACTGAGCCGGCTCGGCTCGGCTGGTTCGGCGGGGAGGGGCGACGCGGCGGGGCGAGCGCGGGCCGCGGAGTGAGGAGGAGCGGCGGAGGCGGAGCGGAGGAGGGAGCGGTCCCTGCAGCCGGGCCGAGCCGAGCCGGCGCGGCGGCCGCGGGAGGGGGCGGCAGGGGTGGCGACGGCGGGCGGTGGGGGCCCTCGCTTCGGCCCGGCGACGCGCTCTCGCTCGGCTATGCCGCTAACCATGAACTTAGAGACCGAACGAAAACCGAAAGTGAGGAGTGGCGTCGGGCCGGCGTCGGCGTCGTCGGGCGTCGCGTCCGTGCCGAGCGCGAGGCGAGCCCCCTGCGGCCGGGAGTGCGCGCCGCGGCCGCCGGGTGGCGCTCGCGGCGTCGCACCCCGCGGCGCGCGAGGACGACGATGACCCCGCGGGGCGGGTACGACACTGCAAGCTCACCTGCCCCCGGGGGCTGAGCAGGCTCATGTCGACAAACATCCCCTCGTCGACAATACCGGCCTCGTGGCGTTTCCGCGTTGACGATGGCCTCGCAATGGTGATCCGGCGGGGGGCTGATGCACTCTGAATACATAAAACACTGCGGATATAAAAATTTATCTGAGCCGTGTGTCAGAGTATAATGACCTCGCGCGCATCCCGGGCTGCAGGCTGCAGCGGGGCCGCGTATGGAAATGGACGGCCGCCGCCGCCCCCCGCTCCTCGCACGCTGCACCGCGCTGCGGCCCCGCGCAACGATTTTAAGGGCATCAAGAGTTACAATTACACCGTAATGCTCATAGCCTTGATGACGCGACAAATCATCTTGAGCAATCACCAGGCCGTCACCCCCGGCACTAATGCACCCCACGGGGCCGGGGCCACAGAGCCGCCCCGCCGGACCGGACCCTCCCCTCGCCGGGCGTTGTGCAACGCACACTGCAGCGCGGCGGGGCGGGCGGGGCGGGGCGGTGAGGGACACTACACCCATCCCTTTACTCCCTGCCGCCCCGCCCTCCCCGCGGAATATGAGCACCACATGCATACACTCACACACACGCGGCCATTCTCGCACATACACGCGAACACAATTTTACACACACTGACAAATGCCCACTCGACACGTCGCGGTTCGTGTCGTCACGTCAAGCGCAGCCCTCCGGTGAACACGACCGCTGCTCGCCTCGCCCGCGCCGCCGCCGCCGACGCCATCGTCCTCAAACACGCTGCCGCAACTTTCTCCGTGTCATAAAATTCGAACTGGACTGGATACCGCCGCAGCCGCAGCAGCGCTGCCGAGGTGCTGGTCGGGCTGGCCGGGCTGGCTGGGGCCCAGGGCCGCTGCTGCTGAGTGGAGCGCGCCCACCAACAGCGCCCATGCCGGCCCGCCAGCGCGAGTGCCCGTTGGGTTGCCTACCCGACGGCGCGCGGGCAGCGCAGCAGCGCACGCAGCGCAGAGAACAGCCTCGGGCCTTCTCACCACAAAGGGAGGCCATATCATCTACGAGGAGAAGAACGCCGAGGCAATATCCCGAAACAATTGCATTACACATGCCTCCCGCGCCCGCCTCGTGCGACGCGTGGATATGCCTCGTCACATCACAATTAGCGGCTGATTACCTACCGGGGGCGCGGAGGAGGGGTCGGGTGATGAGCTGATCAAGCCCGAGGGGGCCAATGCCAAGCCAGCGCCGGCGTCAAAACCCTTTCCCCTTTCTCGATTACTTCCTAAGTGGTTCACATGTGATGGGATATCTTGCCGTAAACGAAACGCCCGCCCGTGCTGTCGCAGAAAAAGTACCCCCTAACCCCTGCTCGATCCGCTCTCTTTCTCTCTCCCTTTCTGCACCTCTCTTCTCTCCCTCTCTCCCGTTTAATCTCTTACCATACCCCTACCCCCTGCCTCTGCCCCACGCTCCACGCGCGATCCGCACCCGCACACGTAGCGACCCCACGACACCCACCAACGCACGGCTCCTGCGAAATCGCTGGAGGATTCATAACCTGGAGACTCGTTCGAACTGGAGGCTGCACAATGGCGCGAGGGGGCCGAGGCACACACAATAGGGTAGCCCGGCCGCGCGGCCCTGCCCTGCCCGGCCCGGGGCCGTGCTGCTACAGGGGTAGCGGTAAGCTTTTGCGCAAACAGCACGGGCGCCTCCCCGCGTGCGTGCGTGCTTGCGTGTGTGTGAGTGCGTGTGTGCGTGCTTGCCTGCGTGTGTGTGAGTGTGCGTGTATCACTCTCTGTTTGCTCGCACCGCAATGGGATGACAGGTCTGCCTTGCTAACTAAGGTGTCGCACATCCACTTGGCTGCCCCTCGGGGCGCACACCGAGATGAAGCAGCGTCATGCCCCTCCCCCCTCCCTCCCCCATCCAACTTTACAACATACACCACACCACTCGTGCTTTGAAAGTGTTTCAACGTGTTTCTAAACCTTACAAAGTCTTAGTCTACGACGCCGTGACTTGTTCTACAAACGAGCAACAGCATGACGCAGATGATTGACGAACTTTCAACCGCCAAGCAAACTGTTTGAACTGGCTGACATTTAAACGTCAGGTCAGACACTATTCTATTAAACTCTTGGACTTAAGAAAAGCTTTTTACGGATACTTACTTATCTAGTACCTCATCGCAATACTGTCACTGGAAGTTTAACCATAACACATGCTCCTCTGGAGAGACCGGGTGTGGGGGAGGAAGGGAGGGGGGAGGAAACAGAGGTACTATATATAAGAACGTCGCAAAAGAGTGGTTGCCCTGCCGAGACCAAACAACCCGACCTCGAGCGCGCTGCGCTTTTGTACTTTCGGACGCCATACGCCGCTGGCCGGGTCCACCAACTTTTGGAACGATACCCGCGTCCCGTCCCGTCCCGTCCCGCCAGACCGCAAGGCGTATGTCTCCCGGCCGCGGCCGCCCCATACAAATGAGACGGCGCGCGCGACTTTCGGGCCCATTAATGGCAGGTCCGCCGAATATATACGAGCCCAGTTTGAGCAAGTGCGGGGCATTAAGCGGTCACGGAACTCGACCGCGACGAGCAACTGCGGGGCGCCCACAGCCGCAGCCGCGCACTACTATAGTAGCCGCAACGACGCTGCGCGGCGCGACGCTCGGTCTGTCGTCACGGCTGCGGGAGCGGGAGCGCGCGTCATTTGGGAACCCGGCCGCGTCCGAGGCAGCGGCTGGTGTGGTGGGCCGCCCTTTTTACAATCTATAAACGGGCGCTCTGTTTGCACTCGTTCTCTTGTTTATGTGTTGTCTGGACGTGGTGGGCCGATTGATAAGGTGTGGCGTGGCTGGGCGTGGCGGCGTCGCGGGCTTTTTGATAAGGCTGCCACGGGAGGCGCGTCCACCACGACGACGGAGAGGACGGCGTCGTCTACGAACAGGGTGTGTGTGTAGTGTGAGTGACGACAACGAAACGAAATGAAAAATTCAGCGGTCACGCTGCTCTCTCTCACTGTCCGTGACTTTGGCGCGCGTGCGTGCACCTCAGGGGTGTTGTTGCCCCGGTGGCCCACACACAACACCCTCCTCGGGGATGGAGGGCCGGTGCCAGGAGATGGATTGGGGG